GATAATGAAAAGTCAATGACATACAGCTGCTGCTCAAGTAAGTCAACAAAGTTTTTATGAACGTGCCAACAGCAAAAGTCATCTCACACACATCAGCACATCAGCGAGATTTCTAAAAGCTCTCAGGACTGAGGAGAGCTATTGGTTCCGTCAGTTAATTTTCCTACATTGCTCGGTCAGTGTTTACAGCTAAGGGATGAAACACAGACTAAGTAAATCGTAAAATTCCCGCCGGCACATATGACACTTACGACCAATCCTTCTATTCTACTATTCCACTCAATTGAGAAATCACAACTGAATGATTCAAGCAGAATTCGGCTCAATTTCCTTGGAATTTTTTAAAAAACGCGCTAAAACAGTGATGTATGTTTTTTCATCATCCAACAACCTAATAAAAACACAGAAAGTCGAATACATCACTACCCACTTTGGCCAAAAAAACTCAGATTTAGGTCAAACCCCGGAAAGACACTGAATCTGTTAGAGGCCGAGCAAAAAAAAAAACAACAATTACATTTTAAGAAATTTTTAATAAAAACATTTTATGAATTTTTAAGAACAAATTAAAAATTATAAATGGCAGCTGCCTATCACTTGTACAACAATTTATTTCATAAGCCCTGAGAGGATGGCGCATCGAAATCCACGAATCTCGAACGCTTCGGGTTATAAGCTCTGGCGCCTCTTCTGAAATTCCCTCTCGGCCTTTTTCTGCCCCGTCTTGGCGGATGACCCGTAGGAGTATTTCGTTCGACTCTTGCAAATTCGGGCACCGGTTCACCGAAAATATCGTCAGCCGGTGGTTGTTGCTTCGCCGGTGCATCGCGTTTGGCAGTATCTGTGAATTTCGTGCATTAAACTTCATCAGTTATGTTTGCGGGAAAAAAAAAAGCTTTGATCTTAGTATTATGGTAAATGCAAATTCTTGTATAGATTTTAACCCAGGCATTCCCTCATCGTGATTTTGGAGCTGCAACAGACTACGCATTGTCAGGTATAAAGCGGATAAAAGGAGGCAGAGGGAGAGGAGCGAAGGGACACCAATGCTCCAAAAGTTCTCCTCAATCTTGTAACTAAAATCGCCGAGCACATGATAATGCTTTCAAAGTGAGATAATCCTCAAAACATAGGATATTCCCTCATTCGCACACATATCCGGAGAGTTAAGAGAAAATTTCTAAAATTCGGCCTCTACCATCCCAAAATGAAGATACTTGAGAATGAATGTATGCCACATTCACCATGTAGGAGACAAATCTGCGCTAATCTAATCTCAGAGTGGCAGATAGAGCATTCAGTGCAAATACGATATTAACAGTAAGGCCCAGATCTGCGCAAACTTGATCTCAGAGCGATAGGTACAGTACCCCATATGAATAAGATATCCACAGTAGGGCCCAGATCTGCGCAAACCTAGTCTCAGAGAAACAGATACAGTATCCCGTGTGAATACGATATCCACAGGAACAGTTCGGTCAGCGCAAACCTAATCTCAAAACGGCAGGAACAACACTCATTGCGAATACGATATCCACCGTGATAACTAGATCTGTACGAACCTATTGTCAAATCGGAAGATACAGTACTCCGCGTGGATACGATATCCACAGTAGAAGGCAGATCTGCACAAACCTAATCTCGAAGCAGTAGATACAGTACTCAGTGCGAATATGATACCCACAGTAGGAACTGGATCCGTGCAATCTAACTTCGGAGCGGTAGATACAGTACCCCGTGTGAATACGATACCCACAGTAGGAGGCGGGTCTGCACAAACCTGGTCTTAAAGCAGTAGATACAGTACCCAGCGTGGATACGATGTCCACAGTAAAAGTTGGTTCTGCGCAAATTTAATCTCGGAGTGCTTAGTGAATATGAATTTTCTGAACTGTTGTGCAATAGCTGGTGCAGTGAAAAAAGTTTTTTACCATTATTTTTGCCGTCTTTCTGCTCATTGTTCTTTTTTGGCCCGAATGAAGCTGGTATTCGTTTCTGTACAATGTGATACACAAGCACCAGATGCTCATCTATGCCACGAAATGCCTCCTGCACTGATGGTATACGATCATCGAAATACAATGTTTTTAATTCATCCTGTCTAACATATGCACGCATCCTGAAAAACAGCAAGATTTTAACTGAGTAGCGATTTTTGCGGATTTTTTTCATAGAATAAGCTAGAAATCCAACAAAAAATAATTTTTGGAGTTTAAAAATATTAAAAATGTTTCAGGCAAAAAGTGAAGAAAGAAATAATTCAGCAGTACCCATAACAAAAAAAAAAAAAGCAGTAAAAAGCCACCATAACCACGTTGAAAATTGTTTGGGATTTATCTCCAGACAAATAACGGATGGACGAAGCGAACAACTTAACATCATCTCTATGTGCTAGAAAAAACAGTAGGATGGCCAATCCACTATTTGGAGTGTTGTGAGCACAGGAAGCCCAAGATTATAAGTCGTGGAAAAATTAAAACGAGATTAAGAATGCGAATCATTAGCTGTTTCCGCACCGGATCACTCGATAAAAAGACAGGAAGGCCACTTGGCGATTTCGAGCGATAGACAAGCAGCGGAGCTAAAATTTTGCAAGGACATTCTATATTCACGTATGGTCTAAATGAAGCTCGAAGGCTAAGTTTCCTGCACATGAGCAAGGCAAATGCTAAGTTCTATCTTAACCTAAAAAATGAGTGAATTTTGCTCGAAGTTTCCCTTTGGTATAAAAAACATACATGTCATCAGTAGCTGGGAAAATCTGTATTCGGCCAGGTTCTTTTCGAATCAGATAATTGCCAGCTTGAAGTGATTCCAAATGTAACACCACCCTCTTTAACCATTGTGTTCTTTGCTCCGCTCTGAAATCATTTTTTGCACTGATTCTCATTTCACAGGACAAAGAGGCTGTATTATCTGGACATCTACAATACCCGTCCAGCTGAATTCAAAGATAAATAATTGGCCAGCGCGCCGACTGCCGGTGCGAAGATACTTTTTTTGCACAGTTCCCTGCAGGTTTTTGTCGCTAACGCGTTTTTTCCAGCAGATGCTTCTAACTAAAAGAATTGAGACTGGCCACCACGGCAATGAGAAAACATTCCTTTAAAATTTCAGTTTTCTAGCTTTTCTGGTTTCCATGGTAGCAACTTACCAAAAATTTCCACAGGCCTGTATGTGGGAACGATGTGGGAAAGAATGTCCATTTAGGGATAAAGGCCGGTACAGACCATGTTCCCAAAGTTTCACTGTTGTTGCCTCTGCAGGTCTCGAGATGAGAAATCGGTACAGATGCAAACACAGACATACATAAATACATACACACACACACACATAGATATAGCCCCTCGACAATATGCATTTTTGCATTGTATAGATGCAAAAGACGCATAAAAAGCACTAACACTTTGCGCAAATCCGGTCTAACGCTGGTCAGCATAACATTCTCGTTGTAACGTTCTTTCTGCAGAAGATGCAGCTCCGTACTGTGTATTCTGCAATAAATTTACCACAAAAAATATGCTGCAAGAATGAGAAAGAATGGAATTAGAACCAGACATGGTAATAACGAAAAATTCAGGAACAGTCTGCTTATGTTTCATCCCTGAGCTGTATACACAAAGTATTACGACTTAAAAAGACTGGAATTCAGCGGTACATTCCAATCTCATCACGTAGCGCAAGTTAATGTGGAAAAGTTGATGAGAAAAAAAGAAGAAAAAGAACAAAGTATGAGGGAAAAAAAGCAAAAAAAGAGGTGAAACTGGGCTTCTAAGTCTCATATCTCCCGCCCTTTTCGTTTTGTCCTTCAATAAGTGAAAAAATTACTCATCTTTAGTTTAACCATCACATGTTTTATCAAATAACTGAAAGAATACTCGAAAGAAAGCTCAAGACAGTTTGGATCTCCAACTTACGCATTCCTAAGCACATGGTAATCCACTGAAGGAATGGATGAAAGAAGAGAAAAATTATGCGATGGGTCGCCCAAACGATTAGCGTGGAGCCCTAGATGCTACTAAAAAATTATTTTTTTTTTAATCAATTTAACCCAATTTGGCCGTCCTACTTGGGACGGTCCATTTCTGATTCCTTCTTCTAATGGCCGTTTAAATGATACTTGCAAATCGTAGGTGACAATCCAACTATGTAGCTAGCAAATTTTGTCGCTGTTCTGACTTGAGATGTGTTAAAGAAATTATCTGTACGGGCTGGTGGGTGACGGGTGGCCAGATCCCGCTATGGGTAAGACAGAAAAGAGAACAAGCGTACTAGTCAGAAGTTCGTGGCAAGAACTACAAACAACAGTAAAGAGGAAGGGGCATTCATAGCAGTTTAAAGAAAACTAAATGAGGGGAAAATCTGAACTTATGAGCACACGCGTATCAATATTCCCAGTTTCTCAATTTTAACAGAATCAATGAACTTATGAACATTTCACACGGGCATATTTGCTATTTTACATGGTAGTTAGAGGGCTGTACTGATGATTCCCATCCCTAATCACACCTCTGGTTGTCTGTGTTTGCAATTAAGGGATGAAACACAGACAAACATACCTACATATTCTCAGCACATGAGATATGAATATGTTACACTGTTTATAAAACATGTTCCAAAACACTATCTCCCAGTCTCCTCCATGCGCATTAGTTTATTCTACTTGGAATATTAAACTTAAATCTTCCTACTCCATCCTATTTTATCAAAATCAGTGAACTTATTGAAAATTTCACATGGGCACATTTGCTACTTTAGGTGGTGGTTAGCGAGCTGTACTGATGATTCCCAACCC